TTCAGCTCTTTCATGTCTGGCTTGGCGGGTTTGTGTTACGGTATGGTAAAAATAAAAATTTGGTTAGTTCAATTATTTCATGTCTAGGGGCTGGTGGCTTGTTTTACAGCGTCGGTGCCACTCGACGCCAACCCAATCAAATTTTGCGAACAGGGGGCGCTTCGGGGGGGGGGGGGGGGGGGGACCCCAAATCCGGCATGCCCGAATCCTTTGACCATTGACCCCCCATCCCTACAAAACCGGGAAGGAACACGCCGGGTTTTCACCGGAACAGGGTCTCACATCACCAAGCGCGAAGCGCCGTGAGGTATTTGGCGAGTCGCATGAAGGGTGAGCTGCATCCTGCTAAGGGTGTTCGGCATCTTGTGCTTACTTCCTTGCGTACGGATGACAGCTACGTATGACTTAATTTATTTTCTGGTGCTTTCACTTCCAGAGACAGTTGTAAGCACTGTGTAACTGCCTCGAGGAAGCTTGACCATTTTAACACAACGTGGTGCGATCATCCCCCGTTGCGCGGAGTGAGGTTTCTCCACCCCGCACAACATGATCTACTCGACCACCATTATGGTTACCGCAAAAAAAAAAAAAACGAGGTAAAAAAAAAAACGGTAACAACCTGGTTGCCGAGTTCACGAAGTGAATTGGCTTGTTTTACAACGTCGTTGCCAAGCGACGAAAACCCAATCCCAATGGCAAACACCGAGTGGGGGGCTTGTTTTACAACGTCGTTGCCAAGCGACGAAAACCCAAACCCCGATGGCAAACACCGGGGGGGGCGTGGCGGGTTTGTGTTACGGTATGGGAAAAATAAAAATTTGGTTAGTTCAATTATTTCATGTCTAGGGGCTGGTGGCTTGTTTTACAGCGTCGGTGCCACTCGACGCCAACCTAATCAAATTTTGCGAACAGGGGGCGCTTCGGGGGGGGGGGGGGGTTATACCCTTGTATCCCCGAGTTTCTGCCGAGGCGTTGGTGCTTCGGCGTCCCGTTCTCGCATGGTGTGCATCACCGCTGGCGCTGCTGGCTCTCTCTGTGGAGCTGTGGAGGCCCCCGAGAGATGGCAGACACCCCGACACTACAGGGTCATCATCGCAATCTTCGCATGCATACATACCACAGGGACAGCCGCTATAGCCCACCAGTCGCCCGTCCGTGTGGTCGATTGGTCAAGTCAAACGTAACCCTACAAGAAGACCAAGGTTACGAGTAGATTTATTTGCAAGACTATGTTCCCTGTTGTGCAGTGCTATAGATAGAGGAGGCGGCAAGGGCAAGTTTGCAAGGCAGGTGGTTCAATGTGCAAGCTGGTCAATGAATGACCTGTTCCAATTGAATGGACTGATTTCGAGCTTTGTGATCGATACTATTTGCAGTATTACTATTTTGTTGTACACGAACTAGGCTGCTTGTTTCCGTGTGTTCCTGTAGTAGCACGGCTGGGTGATGAGTGTGGGCCGGCATCGATGACGAGGAGGTAGATGATGCAGAACGGGTAACGAGAGTGAGGCATGTTTACTACATCCATCTACTGCACCTCATGGTAATTTTTCGACGATTCATGGTAAACTCTTCGACCTTCTTTTTTAGCACAGACCCTTGGTCAGAACGATTATTATCATGACTTCTGTGAGCCACAACGAACGCCACAATCACACATCATAGACTTCGCATACATCGGTGACGTTTCAACCTAAAGTATTTATTGTCTGAGATTATGCATGAGTAAGTAGATTATTCCACCACTAAGTAGTACAGGCCTCAACAACAACAGGAAGGATAGACTATCCCCCGGCAGTTACCTACACTACCAAGCCTTGCTAATAACGAAGAACACATCGTACACAACGTGGAAAATCTGTAAGTATTACATCATTTTCGATGCCACTGTATGTACTATGCAACGACGCTTCAAGGATTAGGATTGATGACAGATGTAGGATTTCCCAACTTCCAGACCGGCCGTTGCAACGCTTCAACCAGCTGACTGACTATGCTGCAACAGGAGAGACGGAGTGAGAGTCACCGAGGAAACACCAACGATACGCTGAGTGAATAGTCTAGTTCCCAACATGTGCAAAATATCAAGTGCTCTGTGTGCTGCTGTGGTGTGCCCGCTGGATTTTTGTGGCAGATAATGGGTACAATGTAGTCTTTCTGTGTGTGTTTATATTATTCCTTAATAATTTTGAGAAACTTCACACATGATTTCGGATAGAAGATTCGATCAGGGGGTGGGGCTGAAGACCCGTGGCACCGCGGAGCCCCTCGGCCCGAAGCGTTCTTGTCTGGCTTGGCTTCGCGTTTGACTCTGGAAGCCCAACCCCTTGCCCGTGCGCCTCCCCCCACAGTTGGACTCCCCTCCCCAGTTTGCCTCTCCCATCACCCGGACACATCTTCCGGCCTCTATCCATCACCCCGAAACGCATCTACCGCCTGTTCGACGGCAGTAGCTCGCATCATCATCATCCCCGGGAGAGCGGGCACTCGCGTGGTGTGACGTTGTGAGACAGAGGGACAGACAGGGCTTGAATAGGGGAGAGGGTCAAGGACAGCAGACAACATGGAGGTTCTCCAGAGCTCGGTTCAGGTGAGGGGTGTTTTCCGGTGCTGTATGTGCTTTGATTTTTCCGCGTCCAGCGGTCAGCGGAAGCTTTTTTGCACACCCGCCTGCGGGCGTTGCTTGTCAAGCGAACATATTCCGTTGCAACCATATCGAACCTTGTGGGCGCGGTGCGATACTACATACAAACACATAGCCTAGGGGACAGGCGCTGAGGGGCTCTCTTCATCGCCAAGCACCCCTTCTCTCTGCGCCTCGGCCGCCGTTCCTTTCGTGAGACGGCTGTGTTCTGTGTGCGTGCTCGCTTTTCCTGTGGACACGGTAAATGACCGTTGCCGAAAACGTATCCTCTCACGCCAATCCTCTCTCTCTCTCTGTCGTCACAGAATTGGAACAACTTTCCTGGCTGTTCCCAAGGTGGCAGACAGCTTCCTGCTTCAATGTCTTTTTTCCGCCCCTCTCACGCTACTACACTCGCCACAGGCACCGACACCCCGCCCCCCTTGTTCTTGATGCTCTTGTTGTCGTTGTGACTCGGGGTCTAAGCGCGCTCATGACAACCGCCTGAGACATCCATGTCCTCAAGCTAGAGGCTCTCTGTCCTTTTTTTTCCGAAAAATTGATGAAGACAGGTGTGTAAGATAGTCCGCCTCATCAACCAAAAGAGAGACAGCTGCGAGAGAGAAAAGAAAAAACACTCGTGTTCCCATCCCACCACCCGGAGTTCGCTGTCCTGGCGCCTGTCTTGTTCCCCTCTCCATCCACGACAACACCCGGAGTTAGCTAGGCTGGCACTTGCCTCGCGGACGATTGACGCGCGAGAGAGAGCGTATGCTCGCACGCGAACGTTCTGTGTTGCATGGGACCCCGTCGGTGAACAGTTTTTTCTACCCGCGTTTTTGTCTGTTAGTCTTTCTCGTTTTCTCGTCACAGCAGTACTGCTGTACATACATGTGAGATGGAATGCGGCGGTTGCCGAGAGGCCCACGCCAGCACGCTACTACAAATAGCTTCATACACGACAGCTAGCTCACAGCTCTCCGGGTAAGCAACTCTATCGGTGCTTAAATCTACTGGATGGATACCTAACTCGCAATCGGCCCCCTCTCTACCGACTCCAAACCGTATGTGTTCACGTGGGAGAGAGGCTGCTTTGTATGCATGCCAGTATGGTGCTCTGGCGTAGTGTGTTGAGAGCTGCGTCCGTGATTTAGCGAGAGGTCGCGGGAGCAGGGCTTCTTTATTCTCTCTCGCATGTTTTCTCTCGGTCAGTGCGCACGATTGTGACACAAAAGAAAGCAGTGGCAGTTGCGCTTGCCCCGTGTCTGGTTGTTGGCCAAGGTAAATATGCATGGCAAGCGCCGAGCGAGGAAGCTGTTTGTCGCGAGTCCTCGGAATGTAAATTTATCGAAATACACACATACCTGATGAGGCACATACAGGGAACATGCGGGGGCGAAGAGCACAGAACCCACAAATTGTCTTACCTTTCAGCTTTCATGCAGTATTCCAACCAGCTGTTCCGAGGTTGGTGTTGACAAGACATTTGGTGTTGACCAACACACTCGCCGAAAGAGGAAATAAGGATAAAAGATACACAGTCGGCGGTCCTCTATAAGCGGTACATGTACCCGAGTACGTACATGGCGGAATGCCCTGAATATTGGCACCGAAATCACTTGGCACAAATCCATCTCTCAGTACAAGGGCTATATAGGAATAGCGGAACTGCCCTGAAACATCGGCACCAAAAACCTCTTGTCGCTAGTATACCTGCCGCTATTATTGAGGACCGCTGACTGTACCACAGAAAAAGTAAACTGCCTAAATCGGAACACGATAGATTCCTGCACATGTTATGTACAAGTACATATGCGTAGGACGCCACGACGATACACATGGACACCAAGATCCCGCCGCAGTTTGTTCTGCCTCGCTTACTTTCACAGAGAGATGCACAAGATGGCTACCAAACTGCCTTGTTGAGCCTGTTACCCACAAGGGAAATATCGCTGTGTGCTGCTCGGGAAATCGTGGAAATACAGGTATAATAGCCTTCGCTGAGGCTATGGATTCATTTCTACATGATCTATTTAGAAAAAAAAAAAAAGTACATGAATCTCACAGAAAGACCACCCGTTCGAGATCTTGGCACCAACTGGCATCACTTAAACCGATACACTGAAGTTTTGCATCACGATGATACAAATCTTTAGTGTATAGGCGTAGACAAACTCAAAATAAGCCCAGTTTCCAGCCGGTTTCCCTCCACTCACTCTTCAGACTCCAGCACACCCGTTTCGACTGGGTTTATTATATCTCGAACGGGTAGTCTTTCTGTGAGATTATGTCTACTTTCTAATATTCACCGTCCTGCTTTATTCTGTGTCAGGACGCAGTTTCACTTTTCGGGCGGGGAAGAACACTTTCTTCCTTACCCGGTCATGATTTGCCAGTAGTCTACGCATCAAAATTGATTAAGCAAACATTTGGGATAAAGTATTCAATCCGTGCTTTGGGGTTAGGGTGAAGGATTGCGTAGCGTAAGGTGATCCTGATTTGCGTTCGTGCCCTGGACGCATGCATGCATGCATGCATTTGGGCTCCCTGAAACCAAAACAGAACAGCAATTGCCGTAAGGTTGCGAGTCAGCGCACGGGGGTGCGATCGATTTTCAAAGCGCAATTTTTCCACAACCAGAAGGGTGCGAGCGCCAACTGATAGTTCTCCGGGAAGCTCTCGATGAGATGTTTCCAAAACCACCCTTCGACAGCAGTGGTATTCTAACCTCTTGGTTGTGGAGAAATGACGCTTTGAAAATCGATCGCACCCCTGTGCGCTGACTCGCAACCTTACGGTACTGTATGTTCTCTTGCGAAACAAACCCCCTTCTGCACAGGGTACATTTACCAATATACCATGGTACTTGGATATCCCAAGAGAAGAGCGCGAATGCTCTGAGATGCAATCCCTCATTTGTTTTTAGAGAGCCAAACACAAACTTCGCCATCGAGGATAACGTCGGCGGGTCTCACATTAGAAGGATACGAAAGAAGGGATGGATCATGGCCACACACCCACATAGATACGCATAGCCACGTACCCTCCCTCTCGCAATGATGTCTGGTTTTGGTGGCAAAATTCCCGGGCTCGATTCGGCCTCCCATCTATTGAGTGAAAGTGATGGGGGACCAAGATTCGGATTTTCGAGCTTGCGGGACTTCTGGCGACGTGCATAGCGAAGGTGCTGAAGATTGCGAAGAAGACGTGAATAGACTCGCCGGTTTCTACCCCTATTATAAAAGCCTTCTTCCTTCCTTGCTGTGTCTACAAAACAAAACAAAACAATGAAAACAAGAAAACGGCCCTTACAACGTGAACATGGCCTAGCCTCAGATCTCCCCAAAGGACGTTTGTAGAGGACTTTTCTTTCGCTCTTTTCACAACACAACGCTACTTTCCCGCTACCCTCTGATATCTACACATCGTTTCGCGAATTTGGGTTTGGACAGCAATATGCCTGGGGCAAGAAAGGCTCCGACAGCGTGGTGGCCAAGCTCAAAGGCCTTGGAGACGCGGAGTACACCGTGAAGCCGGAGGAAAATTACGCCGAGATGTGGATCGGGACCCACCCCAGCGGGCCCAGCCGTGTCGTGAGAGACGGAAGTCCGGGGCCTCTGCTCAAGGTGAGCTGGAGAGAGGGGTGGGGGGGGAGGTGCCACCGCAGCAGTTGAGGGAAGAATTGTTTGTAGTACAGTATGTGGGGTGCGGAACGTTGTGGTTTGGTTCTTTGGTCATTCGGTCGTTCCGGAAGTATGGATATGCATGTCAGGCGAGACTCACTGCCATCGCGAAAGTACGACGTAAAAGTGCGGTACAGCAGTAATGTTAAGTTTAAGAGGCGAAGGCACTGCTGTGTGCCATGGGGGTTTTGAGAGCTTGCCTGCTCCACAGCCGCGATGATGCTAATGCTGCCGAGCAGCTGGTCTTCGAACGATCTTTTCCGAAGGTGTTTCCTTCCTTGCACGTGTCGGTACTGCTGTAGGGTGTTGCCCCCTCTTGCCCTCGTCGGCTGTGGAGCATTCTAGCTCTAGAATATGGATCGATCGATTGCACAACACGTGCATGCGCCCGCACTTTCCGTCTACGTTCTGTCAAAGCTGTCACAGAAACAAGGCAACGCGATCTCTCTCCATTTATACACAGGTTTGCATCTGAACATCTAAAGTTGAACTCCGCAAGACCCCCCGCCCCCTGTTACCGGCTCGCGTGCCCCCCACCTCGAACTTGGCTGGTGCTAGGGCGACCTGCTCCCACCCACCAACGAAAAATCTGTACCTACTGAACCTTCCCTCGCCGACATGCAGGATAGATTGACCAGGGACAAACATTTTTGAGCCACCATTGGGCAAAGTAGGAAGAAACGATTGGCCATCGGTGATCGGTCCTGTGGGAACAATGCGCCGTCCTCTGGAGGAGTCGTCGTCAATGGTCTAACCGCTGAGGCATGCAAAACATAAAATAAAGAGCACGCCCCCCCACCCCCTGTTTTCGTTTTTTATGGTGATGGCAGGAAATTCTTGACGACAACCCGCATGTACTGGGAGCAATCCGGTGGAAGGGAGACCTCCCCTTTTTGTTCAAGGTTATCTCCATCAGCAAGGCCCTCAGCATCCAGGCGCACCCCGACAAGGTATGTATTGATTGATTGCTGCATCGATTTGGGTTTGGCGTTTTGTGCTGCTGCTGCTGCTGCCTGCTGCTGCGGCGGCGGCTGCTGCGGCTGCTGCTGCCGTTGCCTGTGGTTCTTTTGACTGCAGTTACGGCCAGCTGCTGTTATATCAGCACCTGCTGTACTGCTCCGCTGCGGTAAAAAAGTTTGCGCGTTTCCTTGCATTGAGAGCTACAGTAAAGGCTAAAGGCATTGAGCACACCTTTGAGGAATTGCAGGACACCAACAGATATGCGAGCCATTGGAACGAAACTCCGAAAAAGCTGAAAAAGCTGGATGACGGTAACGAAGGCGGTCGTCTGTAAAAGAAGAAAGGAAGCATTGTTTTCGATTTTTTTGGTTGGTTCTCAAACCTCTTCGTTGGAACTTGTTTCCCTTTTTTTTTGCATTCGGATCTCTGTTCTTGCTTGTGTACAAAACAACACATGTAAATCCATTTGTGTTTCATTGCATGGTCGTATGCGTTCGCAGCGCTTGGCGGAACGGCTGCACGCGGAGAGACCCGACGTGTACAAGGACGACAACCACAAGCCCGAGATGGCGGTGACTCTCTCGGACTTCGAGGGGCTCTGCGGATTCAGACCGTTCTACGAGATCGTCTGGAACCTGCACGCCTACCCCGGTAAATACCAGGGCCGGGCTGTTCTGTTTTGTTCCACTGCTGTAGACCCGTGTTGCGACGACATTGTACAGTACCGTCGTTCGAAACGTGCACGAAGTGGCTGTCTTCTGTCTGTGACATGTTTATTTTCTGTGTTTCTATGTAGGCGACCGGGAGGTATCCGTAGAAAATTATGGCTGCCCCCTTGGGGCTGGTAAATAGTAGTTATCTAGTTCTGGCCCCCTCTTCGTTATTCCGCGGCGTGGGACCGATCCATGACTCAGTGCCTGTGCTTCACCTCAGCCCCAACCAAAACCCTCGACATGAAGCATCACTGACACGAAAAATCACCACCACCCTGATGGGACACACCGATGTTCCATGGTCGTGTTCGCGCTCACTCCGTGCATGTGCCCTTGTCTATCCTGCCTAAATTTACCCCCGTCCCCGTCCCCGTCCCCGTCCCCCCGTTACTACGTGTGTCCAGAGCTGCGCAGCATGGTTTCGTACGGTGCGTTGAAGGCGGTGTGCAAGGCCGGGGACGACGTCGAAAGGCAGCGGTCGGCGCTCAAGAAGCTCTTCGGGTCGTTCGTCAAGTGCGACAAGAACGTGGTCCGCACTCAGGTAATTACATATCTTGCGTTTTGTTGAAAAAGTATGCGCTGGCTGGCGTCTTTTGAATGATGCTTGCCTGCCTGCTTGCTTGCTTGCGTGCTTGCTTCTTCCCTCGATGGTTTGATTTGGTGACTGGTCTGCTCTTGTACCACACCGATCGTAGCGACCGGATAAGGATATATATTTTTTTTGGCCCGGGCGGGAAGCGTTGTTTTTCAAAACGTTCCCAGCACCTTTCGTCAACATTTCGCTCCTCGGAGGAAAAACACGCCACGCTTCGTGATTCATGTAGTTTGAACATGTTAGGAAGTCTGTGAGTGATTCGGTTGTACGAGGTGATATGCATAGATCGCTCAGAGATGTAAGCGACCTATGGACGAAGTGTTGGGTCGCAATCGCCGGTCAGACATCGAGCGACTTGTGAGCGTAGGAAGGAGTTACAGCAGTCTTGTCGCAATCACGGACAGTCGTCGGTGTTATATAGCTTCGCTTGCAAGGAACGGATATTGCCACAGCAGACTGCTGTACATATACAGCCGATGCGCACAACGTACACTACAAGTTCCGTGTTGAATTCGGTGCTCACGTGTGACGGCATTCTTCAGCTGTGTTTTCGGTCGTCGGGGACGAAGCAATCAATCTCTGGACCTCGTGAAGCGCGGCACGCAAGACCTTGTCTTGTGATCTTTTGTCCCCTGCTGTCGTTTGCCCGCGACCGTTGGCGACGCGCGAGGGGTTCGAGTCAGCTTGCTCGTGTCTACTGCCTGGCGCGCGTTATCAGCTGTTGCAATCAGCCTCTCCCTGTGCTGTTCCATTCCCCTGCCTGACCCTGAAGCACCAAGCTAGTGTGCAGTTTGTTTGGCCCCTTCCTGCCCCGCCCCCACCTCTCCACCCCCACCCTGGCTGTGTATCCATTCTATACCTTCCTTGACATTAGGTGGCCGCCCTGTGTGTGTAGTTTGTTTTTGACCCTGTACCCCCCACCCACCCACCCCTCCTGGCTGCGTATCCCCCTTGACATGTAGGTGGCCGCCCTAGTCAGCCGGCTCGAGAAAAACTTCCCCGCCGAGGCGACCCCGGACGACGTCTCCGCCTCCATGAACGGCCTCAAGATAGACCAGGCGCCCGAGCCGCTGCGCGAAGTCCTCGCGGCCAAGTCCGCCGCCGGACAAGACAACGGTGGTGCCGTCCCCGACGAGCAGAAGACGCTCAACAAGAACCCTTCCATGCACCTGGGAGGCTACGTCTTCAAGGGGGGGGAGCAGGGCGGGGCCCCGTCCCCTCCGCCGACCCTGGGCACCGTGCCGTCGTTTTCGGTGGGAAGCCCCTCCAGGGACGGAGCCGATTGCGATGCTAGCGTTTCGTCCCCCCCCGGGGCCGAGGAGAGAAAGCGCGCGGAGGACGTGCTCGCGGACGTGGATAAGTCGGAGGAGATCTTCGGGAAGGCTTTCAGGGGGGGGCCCAAGGCGGCGGCCGGGCTCATGGCGCGGCTCCAGCGAGAGGTTAGCTTTCGAACAATGTCATGATGTTTGTGAGAAAGAGGTGGTGGTGGTTGCGTGAGCGGTAGGTAATTAGGGTTAGTCGTGGGATCAACTTGTGGTTGTACTACCGCCTTGTTTCCCGGATTTTGGGGACACCGGTTTTGTGAGTAGATACGAGTCCGCGGGCGGTGTCCGGTGTACGTTCTTGGGATGGGAGTCCATGTTTTTTTCCCGCAGATTGTCATGTATCCAATCAATGCGAGACTGTTGAAGGTATCCCTCCCCCCAAGAACAATGATGGCACGTACGTACATACTCGAATGTTTTGTGAGTTGTTTTGCTGTGACCCCTAGTCTGTTTATACCTACCCCTAGTCTGGTTCCGGTTGTAGACCATCGAACGTGGGCAGTCAAAGTCATCCTTTTCTGGTATGTGTGTAGACGATGGTGGTGTTATCCCACTGCTTGTTGGCCCTGCACGTTCATAGTCATGCGTTGGGTTGGTTTCTCACTTTCTCCCGTGCCCCGTGGAACCGACGCGCTTTGCGTGCATGCGTGCCACTTTGTTGTAAAACAGGATGCGGACTCGCAGCGCGTCATGCTGCGGTTGTCGAAGGAGTACCCGGGCGACCTCGGCATCCTCATGCCGCTCATGCTTAACCTGCTGCACTTGAAGCCGGGCCTGGCGTTCTTCATGACCGTGGACGAGCCGCACGCCTACCTTCGCGGTGACATTCTTGAGGTGCGGCATGGTCAGCCGTAAGAAGAACTTGTGTGGACGTAAGAAGAGGAACTTGTGTGTGGAAGTAGAGACGAGAGGAGGCAACAAAACCAAGACTTGTGGCGAAAAGAGAAGAAGTTGGGTCGTGTAGTCGGGTGGAGAGGAGACAAGAGGCTACGAGAGAGCCCAAGACTTGTGGCAAAGAGGCAGCGCTCACACACAGGAACCACCACCATTCCCGACCACCAACTATTCCCGCCTCCCTTGTTGTCTGTTATCCTACTATTAATAGTAGGGTTGGTTCTACGCGACCCAAAAAGCCATGTTGGCCAACTTTTTTGCAATGCTCCCACAGGGCCGCCGCATCCATCTGACCAATGTTCAGACACTGGGAAGAAGAACAGACCTACAGGAGCAGAATCGTCCAAAGAAGTTGGCCAGCATGCCTTTTTGAGTCGTGTAGAACCAACCCGGATGATTTGACGAGAGAAGAAGGGAACGCGGGAATAGTTGGTGATCGAGAAGGGACATGCGATGGTGGTCGTCGTGTGTGTGAGCGCTGACTCCTTTTCGCCAGAAAGTCTTGGTCTGGTGGCCTCTCCTTGTCTCTTGTTCCACCTTCCACCCCACCCCATGTACTCGTCACCAGCCAACGACACGGAAGCCTTCCTTAACCTTGGCTTGGATGACGCCGTTTTATTTGGTGCCGTCCTTCACCCACCGTTCTTTTTGTGCGAGATACCAAGTACTTGAACATTTTATTGTCCCCAACTACCAATGACGAACGCATCCACTTGGTTTGTGCTTCGGACACCTGCGTGTAACATTCATTATGTTGCCCGCGGTGGGAGGAAAGGGTCTTGAACTGCCCCCCCCCCCCCCACGTGGATTGAGACGCTTTCCGAGTGGCGCATTGACATTGGGAGGCGTTTGCTGCTGCTCCGCACGCAGGTGATGGCGTGCTCCAACAACGTGGTGCGAGCGGCCCTGACGCCCAAGTTCCGCGACGTTAACCTTCTCGTGGAGATGCTCACGTACAACATGGGCGCCCCTGCGGTGCTCCCCGCCGAAACGGTGGACGCGTGTCGCAAGCGCTACACGCCGCCGATCAACGACTTCGAAATCCAGATCCTCCAGGTGCGTGCGCGTGTGGGCAGCTCTGATTGTGGAGCGGATCGCGCCGCACAACCTTGTTGGTGCCATGCTCTCTGGTTGCACACACACACACGATTCTGATATGGAATCTTCTTCTGCACGTGGATGATGTGGGGTTCTTCAGGGTCAATCGGTCGGCGGGTCGCGTAGTAGTTGTTTTAAACGCCTTTGTCCGCCTAGTCCTGGTCGTGTACGTACCTCGACGTCGATATCGCTCTTGCAAGACATGCCTCATGTCACACGACGATGTTCGCCTCGCGCGACGCGAAATTTGTCAAGGTGCCTGCGAATGAGCGGTACGAGCTGGAAGCCATGCCCGTGCCTGTGGTGATGGTGGCCTTGGAGGGAGGGGACGGGGGACGCGTGATCGAGAGCAAGACCGATCGAGAGATCAAGGCTTGCGAGGGCGGAGTGTTTTTCCTCCCGGCCTTCACGCCTGTTCAGGTGAGGAAAACCCTGCATTGTGTTGCGTGTTTGCGATCTGCGGGTTAAACCTTTTTTTGGCGATGATCTTTGCGGTGTAGGTTCGTGGGTTGGAATTCGTGACGTCGCCTTATCGAACGCTGAGCCGGTTTCAGAGTTGGAATCAACAGCATGTTGTTGATTGTAGAGGGGGCGGTGTGTCCCGCCGTCGGATGAAAAGCTAGAGAGGTCGTCGGGCAGAAGAAGGATGGTCTCGAGCCGGTGCTTTCTAGTTGGGGGCACACGACGCACGTTCATTCACTCTCGAGTGCGCGTTGAACAAGAGCTGATAGTAAGGGAGAGGTTGGCCGGTGGATGGATGAAGTAGAGACGAAAGCTGGCGATGTTTTTTACATCGTTTCTTTTTAGTTGCGTCTTGTTGTCAACGCACCTTTGTTTCCTGTGAAAAGCGTTCCGTTCAATTGGACTACCCAACAGCGGTGCATCAATAACACCATTCTCCTTTTCCGCCATCCTTCGCGTGTGCTGTCATTGGGCGCTCCAGGTGTGCTCCGGCTCTACGGGTGCGGGCATCAAGATGGCTCTCGCGCACACCAACCTCCACTGGGGGATGCTTGCTGTTGCTCAAACAGCTGGCCACAAGCGACGCGCCTCTGCCAGCGTGGTCTCGGCGGACCACACTTCCACCGCTAAGGCTGTCCTCGAGGCGACGCGGCGCGGTTCCGCCATAGCCCCGGCGTTCGCGTAGTGGTGTGGGTGACGGGGGTTGTGGCAGCGTTTTTTGTTGCTGGGAGGGGCACGGCAAGAGAGGAACACCTTGAGGGCGATGTGTCCAGTGCGGTGGTGATGAGCGAACGGGGGTTATGCGAGGTCAATGCAAGGACTTGCCGAGCGGGGGGGGGGGGAGTTGAAGTGTAATCTATGAAGGGAAGTAGGGGTTGTTCTGGGGCGGGGAGGGGGGGAGGGGGGGGGGAAACTC